CTACAATTAATTTATACAAATGACATTATTATTTTAATGCAAAAGCTAACAAACATATAGCTGTACTTTTTATAACAAAACAGATATCGGTTCAAAACAACGGTTTGTTTTTGGTATTTAAATATTTGCGATAAGAGAGGAAGGACGGAATGGGGTTCGTGCGAGCTTTATCGTATGGAAAATTTAGAGATACGCGACTAATTTATTCGCTTATCTATTAACGAGCTTATAACCCGATGGAAGGATAACGCGTTGAACTGCTCTTGCATTATTAGCAAATATAAAAATTTCTAGTTTTCTGGAAATTTCTAGTTTTCTGCTTTTTGGTTTTCCGAGCTGATGATATCAGGTACATTGATAACGAACGAGAAAAGGGAGCTGCAAGAATCGAAGATAGCAACGATGAGAGCTGCGTGTGTGCGTGCATTAAATAAACAATGATTATATGTTGTATACGCTGGAAATTTTAGTTTGCGGATCACACGAGCTGCTGTTTCCGCGAATATCGATTTACGGCTTTAATATCGAACACACGTAAAAATGGGCAAAAAAAAATAATAAACATAGAGAAGTACTTTCTGCGCGCATATAATAATTACAGTCGGCTTTTCGAGAAACTCTTAAGCAAAATCATATAAATGTAACGTATAGAAATCTATTTTACGAAATTTGCAAGTGAGTGACTTTTTGCGGGATTAAGTTCAATGTCACATACACATACGAATATGTTCACGTCGGTTCGATTAACACGTTCCCTTCTCATCCTGTAGCAATTGATGAAGGCGTATGTAATTAAATCGATTCTCGCAACTGAATCCGTTATAATAACTGTTCAGACGCGGCAATTTATCTTCCCGAGTCTAAGTTACGTAACTCACTCATGGCGAGATGAACGCGTGATGTAACTTGGAACTTCTACGACATGCAATTATATTCTACGCTTTAAAAAATAAATTGAATCGTGTTACTGGATATAATATAAAATAATCTTCTATGTGTTTATTCAATTTATCTTTATGCACCAGAAGATATGTGCGGTGACGATATATTCTTTTTGTCAATTTAAAATCAAGAAAAGAGAAAGATATTATAGCACTCAGAAAAAAGAGAAATGATGACAACTATAAAAATGTCAATTGAGGGAGGGATACGCGAAATAAAGGCCTAATTACAAAATCTTGATTTTAATCAAAATAACCTGTGCTACTTTTTTATTATAAATTAATAGGTACACTATTAAATAAACTTATATAATGTCTTTAAGAAGTTGCATGTTATACAATACTTCTCTATTACAATCAATATTGTATAAAACAGCTAATCTCCGGAAAAAGAGCCTAAGTAGAATGTGCCTTCATTCCGCTCATCCCCTCAATTATATACAAGTTAATATAATTTTTTTTTAATTGAATAAATTATTTTGTACTTATTGCAACTATAAAATAGTTTAATATTTATTTTCAACTGTGTACATTAATTCTACATTCGTTCCCTTACTTCAAAAGTGACATAATTTAAGAAATGTGATTTTTTAGTTATTAATAGTTAGTGATTTTAGTTATAAATGAGTTAGATAAAGATTACTCTATCAATCATCAAAAGTAAACTAGGTATTTAACTTTACAATCTATCCGCCAAATAGTACTTGTGTCCTTAGGGTTTTCAGAGAAATCATGATGCTTTCTAGAAACTCACTGACAAACTCACTTTTGAATTTTGTCGTTTTTGTAAATAAAAAGAAGCGTCTTTTGCAAAGAAGATTTAAAGTTAATACAGTTTTGATGATCAAAATTTGAAAAAAAAATGTCTTATTTTAAAATTGTTTTACTTTAGTTATTTAAACTGATTGAGATAAACTTGATTATATTTCAAATTATGTCAGTTTAGATAAATTATTTCGGGTTTGTTATAATTTTTTAAAATAAAAAAAAATTTTGTAGAATATCACAACTTAAAAAAGTTTTTTAAAAGTTGTGAAACGAAAAGTAAGAAAAATAACATTATGTTCTTAAAAGTATACTCTTTTTATCAATATTATTATTATTTCCATAATTATTTCAATAATTTAATAATTTTAATAATTTTCTGTTATATATTAAAAAATAGTTTTTTTTCTCTTTTCTGAAAAACTTTTTTAATTTTTTAAATTATGTCATTACTTTTAAAATAAGAGAACAATATAAAACTTGTACAGTTGTCACCTTCATAATTGCCGTCACTGTGTTTTTCCATGAATATGGAAGAGACGTAAGCAGAGCGCTTGTGTAATTTTAGACGATCGCATTGTTCAGTCCGCGATATAACGCGGTCGCGTTGTCAAATCGCGAATGCAATCGGAATATTCTGTTGACGCAAATCTGCATACCGCAATTCAATCAGCCTGCATCCGCCCGACGTCTTGTTCCGTCGCGCGGTCGTGCGTGCGCTTAATTAGATCGATTCCGCCATGCCAAATTCGTCTTGGCGCAGCCTCGGTTCGCCAAGACGTAACGATCCATCATGGTCTTGGTAGGCGCGTTCACCATTTAACCTGATTCCCGCTGGATCAAGGACGAAGATGAGCATTCCTCGGACGAGAGTTGTCGCTGCCGTTGATCAAGATTAATCGTATGCAAATTACGCGCTCGTCCGCTGGAGGATTCCGCGAGTTTTGGAGAACTTCCAAGACGAGGTAGCCACCGATGCGACGGTAAGAAAGATCGAGCGTTTCTTCGAGATCACTAGCGGTAATTGAAAAGACACGGGAAATTCTGTTAGGTGCGAGAAATCCTGCTCTCGATAAGAAATGGTGCTCTTGATATTGATTTTTCGAACGATGTGATACTCGGAGAACTATATCCGGAAGGATGTTCGATGTAGACCTTTTTCGACCGAGCGGGATTGATTAATTTTTCATTGTAAAAAGATCTTTCATAGAAAAGAACGCACTCTTTCCACTTCCGCTAAAAATTTAATCTACGAGAATCTACGAGAATGTATGATGTTATGAAAGAAGCCAGTTGCAAACAGCAAACTTGCAAATTCTTTTCTTTTAAGTTCGGATTTCTATGTATACGATTTCTATGTCTCGTATAATAAGCTTAACGACGAGAGGAAAAGAGAATTATGGTAAATGTTTCTCGGTAAAATGTGTCCATTCTCATAATGTAATTGACCTTTCATGACAATAGCCCTTTATTCAACGAAGAAATTTCACTGCAATTAAAAAATCTTTAATCCAAATGTAATTATTTCATATCCGCGTCTCCACATCTCAAGTTCCATTCACTGTTTACTACTTATAATTAATTCTCGCAGAACTAAGTAAAAGAATATCGTTTATTCACGAATTGTTTCAGATAATAATAAAAAAAAAGAAGAATAAAGACAACATTTTTTAAAGTTTCCGTCTTAAACATTTGATTGCATTCGTACTGCATTCAAAATGATTAAGGTTTGCTATTCTTTCCAAAACAAATAACATTATCTTGTTCTTCACTTTAGTTTCCAGAGTCTCTAGGGTTAAGGGTCTTTAGGCTGAAAGGTCTTTAGTTTCTCTCTAAAGGATTTTAATCTCAAATACATACAGTTAAGTCATTAGTATTAAGTATTGAGTATCTCATTGTGTTTGTACTGGAGACTCAAAATGTTTTTTTAGGTTCCTGTTACGGTTTAGTAAAATATCAAATAAGTGTTCTGATTTCAATTTCGTTTCTTGACTAATAAAGAATACTGAGACTGTAAAAATTACAGTTTTTTAACGATCATTTTTTTCGATTATAATTACTTGCGTGATAGGGAGGAGTTTAAAATAACTTTTTTTATATTTATTCTATTAAATTGTAGAAAAAAAATTAAAGAACATATTATTTAATACAATGTTTTATATGTGTGTTATATGTATATATGTGCAAGAATTCAAATCATAATTACAACAACAATATGACTGAGCGAATCAAAAAGAGAGAAGGACAAGGGGGAGAGAGAATTTTCAGTTCAATCAATTTCTCATGTATCTACAATTCAAAGTTTATCTTTCTTCTCCTAATATAACTGAATAAATTTTAAACTAATGCAATCAGTCCAGCTATAAAGAACAGATCTATTATATGTAACAAAAAAATTGTAAACTAAAAACACTTTTACTGGTTTGGTTATAATTTCTATATTATAAACTTTATATTTGACATCGTTTTAGTTTATCTACAAAAAGATTATAGAACGGTTTTCAGTTTCGATTTCGATTCGATCCAGATCTCTGATTCATACTGTAGAGCACATACACACACACACACACACACACACACACACAACTATAATAAACGCAATTTTACTTGGATCCAAGTTAATACGATTACTGATAATGACTTGAATATTCTTATTCGACAAATTTTTATTTAATTTCTTTATGATATTTCTTCTAAAAATTCTGAATACTAAGTTTCTCGAAGTGTCTTTTAAAATATTTTACAAAAAAAATCGTAAATTTTATTTTTTTATTACAAAACTTTGTGAAATACATATATTTAACAAAATGCACATGTATTGGGTCGTCCGGAAAGTCCGTGCGGAAAATACGCACGAACTTTCCGGACGACCCAATAATAAATTCTGTAATAAGCAAAAAATTGGATTTATTTTTTTAATTTTTCAATAAAATACAGATCATTTTTTTATTGTAGTTACTATCTTCCTAAGAAGTGTCATAGATATCTTTGATTAAAACTGAATTAATCATTCAGAGCACACAAACATTTTTTTTTCTAAACCATAATAGAAGAAATATTTGACAAAGAAAGAAATTGGAAATTTTTTATCAGACCAAGCCATCTAAGACCATCAGGTCATTGTCGATATGGTGAGTGTAAACCCGGCATTAATGTCTGCCAAGCAGATGTCGGACAGACATAAGTAAGCGATCGTCACTACGGATACGCACTAACACATACATTAGTCACGCAATGTGACGAGTGAGGTAGGTAGTAGACGGTGGTATACATAGAGGTTCTAGTACCAGCAGAGTCAGTGTAAAACTGCCTTCTGTCCGTAACGTGTCGAACCATAGTCAGTCGGGTAAACCATTGTACAGTTTGATCGGAATCCTTCTTCAACCCAAAAGAGCTCTACAGAGAGAGAAAGCGCGCGACGACTTCTGTCTGAAAACTTCCTTCTTCCCGCGAAGAGCTACGCTAGATACCTTTGAAATCCTCCATTCTGTTTCTGTACAGGAAAGTAAGTGCGATCGCTGGGTGCGAAAGCCTCAGCGACAATCGATTTTGACGCGATTTAATAGACCAATTTTAATAGACCGTTAAAAATAAATTTTGTTATTAATCCTTCATTATTCGCATGAGAGATCCAAGACAAGTCTGCCTGATAAATTTTCTAAATGTATGAATACCATTTATACATACTATTTATACATTATTATATGTTTAGCAAGATTGTTTTTCAATTAAAAAATATTTTGGCATTTATCTTTATCTAAAGAATGTATAGAACATTGTGAATCTTCATTTAATTGTAAATTATCGAAGAGAACGATGAAAATTAATATATAACGTTGGGATGTGTGTCAGAAATACCCCAAGTGAGTTAAATAAATTTGGCAAATAATGTAGGATTAACTATGAGTGTTATGTAATACAGGATTCATGTAGAATTATGTAGAATTATGTGGTAGATTTTTTTGTTTTTATTTTTCGTTAATAACGGATCTCTTGTCACTGGAATCTGGGTTTAACGTTACACGCATCTGATGCGACCGCATGCATTCAATTAACACGAACGTTCCTTCCGTGTTCTGTAGCAATTGATGAAGACACATCTAATTAAATTGATTCTCGCAACTGAATTCTGAGATAACACGTACTTAGACACGACACTCCGCTTGGGGATCTTTAATGAATGATTGATTCGATAAGTCGAATTAATCTCGCTTCTGAAATCGTAAAAAATAAACAAAAAATATATATATCAAAGATATTAAAAAATAAAAAAATAAATAAAAATAATATTTAGGACAAACAGGACAAATGCGATTTAGATTATGAAATATAAAATTGCTAATTATCGTTTAACATAGTACTTCATTCTATTTCACTTCGACAATCGGTCCTCACGTAAGCCAACTAAAAAGTTATAGATTGTTGATGGAATAAAATCAATATAAATCATATTGGCGGAAGTTATTTAATCTTTGCATTTCTCTATTTCTACCTGTTTTTACGGATGTAATCTCTGCAATACGGGTCACGGAAGTGAGCGCGGAATATTGGAGGAAATATGCGAGTTTATATATGCGTGCAGGACAATGCGGATGTCGACAGGTTGCTGAGACTTATCGGCGAGCATTATCTGGCACGATATCGGGAAGTGGATGGCATGAGTCGGTCAGACTGCGATTATATACGTACGTGACCCTGGAAAATCGTATGCCATAAATTGCTGGTTGAACCCCGAGATTGTGGAGGGCGCGTTACATGCAAATAAATCAAGGCCAGTGGGCAGCTCACGCCAAAAAAATTCAATCAAACAAACAAACGTATCATCGGACAAATGTTCAAAACGACTCATTCATCAGTGAACTTACAAGTATTTAGATACTTGATGGGACTACTTTGGTACTATTACATTTATTGAACGAAGACAGAGAGATTATGTGTATGAGAAAGTGAGAGAGTGAATGAATGAATGAGAGAGAGAAAAAGAGAGAGAGAGAGAGAGAGAGAGAGGAGAGAGAGAGAGGGAGGGAGGGAGAGG